ATCAAGTTCAAGTCTAGAATCTGTCATTGGTTATCTTAATAGTTGTATATCTAAAGCAAGTAATTTGAAACCTCTCACTTGTCAATTCCTCATCTGTAAAACGGGCACATCAACACATGTTCTGCAATGTGGTCCTGGAAATTAGATATGAATGAAAAACTCCCACTACACTATACATTCAATATGTACTCTCTGTTATTAGTACATCAGTATTATTGCCTATGCTCAAAACTCTCTGACCTTAAAAACTCTCATCCATAAATGATTTTTCAGGAAAATAAATGAAAGAAGATTTTGTCCTGGTAAAGTGAGTATGAGGCCATCAGGCAGCATGTGGGAAAATAATTGCTTCAATGGGTGCATATGGCTCAGTGTCATTTTAGAAGATTCCATTGAAAAATAAGAAAAATAAAATTTATATCCAACCTACTCACCAACATTTTTATAACATTTAGGTTTTTTCTAATTTCTAAACCATACTACTATGTTTGTGACTTCAAAATTATATTTTAGTTCTGCTACCATTTGAACTCCATTTCCATAAATACAGGTGACTATTGGACACATTGTCTTGTACTTACCACAAGCATTTTTTGTAAGTAGGTCAATGTGAGCTTATCTTTTCTCTAGTTTTTTCCTCTCTCCTGCCAATGGCTTTTATTCTGGTATGTTATATACATGTAATTTGAACTCTGAGTCAGGTACTTTCAAACCATTTTTGAATCTTTTCTTTCTTTCAGTTCCATGTTCAAACAGTTTCCAGGTCTTGTTAACTTCAGTTGAACATACATCAAATTCACCCATCTATATCCATTCCACCACGGCTCTCGTTCTCTCAAAAAGGCTGCTGTTAGCATTCAGAAGTGTTATGGGGTGAATTGTGTACCTCCTGAAGATGTGACAAAGTCTTGACTACCAGAGAATGGGAACTTATGTAGAAATAGAACCATTGCAGATGTAAGTTAACGTGAGGTTATACTGGAGTGAAGGGTCTGCTTAATCCAGCATGGCCAGCATTTTAGGTATAAAGATGCAGACATACAGAGAGAAGTGGTCAAGTGGTAAAAACAGTCTGAGTCTAGAGTTATGATATTACAAGCCAAGAAACACTTAAACTACCAGAAGCTGGAAGAGACAAGAAAGGATCCTCACCTGAGAGCAGTGGAGGGTGCATGGCCTTGCCATCACAGTGACTTCACACTTCTAACCTCTAGAACCGTGAGAGACTTGGAGTCACCTTTTGGTATCCATGGGGAATTGATTTTAGGATCTCCTGTGGCTACCAAAATCTTTGAATGTTCAAGTACCTTGAATGAAATGGCATAGTGTTTACATGGAAGCTATGAAATTCTGCCATATACTTTAAATTATCTTTATGAAGATTATGACACCCAATACAATGCAAATGTTATTGCAATGGTTGTTATACTGTATTGTTTAGCAAATAATGAGAAGAACAAAGGTCTGTACATTTTCAGGACAGATGAAATTAAAAAATAGTTTTTCTCCCCATGGCTGGTTGAATGTAGTGTGAAACCCATAGATACAGAGGGCTGACTGTGGATTTCTGTTGCTAGAAGCCACTCAGTTTGTGTAATATAATAATGTATAATATAATAATTACTTACTGAGAACCATAATTTTTAGAAGACCTTAATTTTAAAATGCTACATATTTGGTTATTCCAGAAGAAGGGAATATGGAAATGTTAGTGCCATCTATTGGTAATGACTTTTAAATAATGATTATTATACATAACAGATTAGTAATAAGTATTGTATACAAATTCTTAATGATTTCTGCTCACCATAGAAGAGAATTTCAGAATGCATTCCATGCTTTTTCTTCTTCAAAGCAATTTTGGTCTTTTTTATACTATTATGATTACACTGATGGATCAGAGAAATTTTGTTTGATTTCAGGTCTCTGTAAGGACTTGGCATGCAAGGGGGATATATGCGTGTCATATGAAATGTGGCGGAAGTTCAGAGAAATAGGTTTCATTTAATAGCTGAATACTGGATGACCTCCCTGTTCTTCTCAGCCTCTGGCAGCTCAGCCTGCGAGCAATAGAGGAGCTGTCTGCATGAACTGAGGAGTGGCTGTTGGCCTGAATGTGATTTTGCAGTGATCTGTGTGCTCTATGGCTTCCTTCATAACCAACAAATCAATTCCCACTATACATATCACACACCCCAGTGGCAGAGGCCATTTATTATCCTTCTGATGGTCATAGTCTTTGTACATAACCAAGAAAGATTATAGAGGAAGGAAAGAACAGTTGAAATGTGGATGGAGAGATTCCACGATGGCACTGCATTTTATAACGTGCCTTGCATGTTTACAAGAATAAAATGGATGCTTTTTTAAGACAATTTTGAAGCATGGAGGCAGAATTATTTTGAATGAAATATGTTTTTTGGAAAGACATATGAAGAGACTATTATGAATGTAATTCTATGTAAGTCCACAGAGAGATTTCAGGTACCTATTCAATATGATTAAAAGAAAAACATTGTCATATTTTGTTGTCATATAGACATGGTTCATAAGACCTGACTAGCTTTGTTAAATTAATGAACTTTACCCTCTCTTTTCATTTGGCACCATCTAACATCAACTAATTATTTTGTTAACTTCTAACTTTGCAGTGTATAAACCTTTGAACTTCAAATGAATGATCGTTTAAGATTTTTCCTAATTCTTTGAATCCATATGGGATAGTTACCACTGTTAAACAAATAAATTGTACTGACTGGACAATGATATCTAGTGCAATTCTAGTGTTATTTGTCCTAAATCAAAAAATCTGACAAATTTGTGTTTCTGAGTGAGGGTGGGAATGTTTTATTAGTGAAACTAATGGCAAAAGCATGACTTTGTAGTGGTTTCTGTGCATAAGAACTTCAATTTCTTTGTCATTAATGTCAATCGATACGAGAACAGTGGAAATTTCCAAAGGTCAAAGAAGCTACTGACTTTTCTGTTTTGCATCATTTGAGATTTTCCAGTTTTTTTTTTTTACCAAAAACACAATGTCAAATCTACATTTGATTTCCTCTTCTCTTTGAAGAAACAAAACACTGACACAATAATTAACTGAACAGCAGATCACATGCAGGACATTTTGCCTTAGCAGTGTAGAAAGTTCTGAGTTTCATTTCATGTGATCGTAATGCAGTAAGGCATTCTGGAATTCTTCCACCAGAGACTTAATCCACAAATTGTACCGCTGTATGTAACCAAAGTCCCTTGGAGGTGAGGGTCTCCTTCCTGTTTAACTGTTCCTCATTGGAATCATTGAAAAGCATGGTCATATAAAGACTGGTTTCCAGTTAGGTGAGGTTCCATCCCTTTGTGGGAAAATACAAAGAACAACTATGTATTGTCATGCTCAATGTCATGCTCAGTGCCTAATTAGTCCTCTGAAGACTAAGAGGTTGTAGTCTGGCTGTGGATTTTCTTACAGTTGTGAATGTTCTGTTGTTACAGTCAGGTTTCCATGCTTTGTCTTCCCTTCCCCTGGCACGATCTGTATGGTACATGGCAGTCTCAAGAGGGTGATGACCTTTCTTATGTAAAATCTTTTGACTATATCCACAACTTCCATTTCTCTTTTGCTCTCAGCACTGCTCTGACTTGATGTGATTATTCACTAAGTCACTGAACTACTTACTCTGTCACTAGTTTGCCCTTTGATAATATGTTTATTATTAGCACTGTTTTGGGATCACAAATTTACTGAATCATTCTAGAAAATATTTCTAAAATAGAACTAGGCAAACTAACCAAGAAATTTGAAAACAAGTTCTTATGGAGATCATATGGTTTATATGAATAATTTTTTTTACTGCTTGAATTAAATAACAAATATTTGCATTCCGTGTATATATCTTTTTTAAATAAAAGGAATCATATAATCATTTAGGCAGGTTTCCTACATTTCTTGAGGTTGTTAGAAGCCCAGCTTATTTCAAAGTAGCACTGGAAATTTTTAAAAGAGAAGAAATAGGCAGATGCAGCAGACAGAGGAGTATCCATTGTTTTATGAGCATAGCACCCTGTTTGGTAAGTGTTTTCCATCTGTTGACCTAGTCATCATACTGACCCTGGGATGAAGGCATTGCTACTATCTTCTTTTTCTACTAGAGGAAACTAAGGCTTAGACAAGAATTATACCCAGACAATCAGGTCCTGGAATTTCTAGTCTCTACAAGGCAAATCTGCTCTATATATTCTTAGGAGTATGATTTCTAAATTGTGTACTTATTTCCAGATGAGCTTTTCATCTTCCTTTTTCATAAAACTACAGTTTTAGAAAGTGAAAAGATCTTTTGTTCCTAATGCTAAATATAGAGAAAAAAACCAGAGCTAAATCAGAATGTTTTTTATGTGATTCTTTTATATATATATTTCAATAGAAAATGTCTATATTGTGCTAAGGAATAAAAGAATTCTTAAGTTTTGAATCATTATTCATGTATTTTAGTAGAATATTAACAACTCACCTCAATTTTGAATGTAAAACAGCTGATCTTTAACAAGTTGTATATAAATTAATCTAGATAGATGGGTATATCCATATGTATAGAATTGCTAGATCAAATAATAATTATAAGTTTGATTTTGGGTACAGATACTGTACTGTTTCGCATAGTGGTTGTACCATTTTACATTCCCATTAACAGTGCATAAGGCTCCCCGTTCTTCACCTCCTTGTCAAGGCTCACTATTTTATTTTGTTTGTTAAAATAGCTACCTTAGTGGTCATAGGTTTATATCTCATTTTGGTTTTGATTTGTGTTTACTTAATCCATGCTTCTTTATGTCCCCTTATTTATCTATTACAGGAAAGAAAAAACCAAAATAAACCATTCCAACTCATTAGAAATGATTTCATTCAGTTTTGTTTCCACAATGCCTTCGTTGTCATTGTCAAACTATTTCACTTTGGGTTGTACTGTAAACCCAACATTGATCTGTTGTTTCTTTGTTTGTAGCTGTTCTTCAGTTGCTGATAGTAATGGATCTGGAGAATTCTTCAAGCATCTCCATTTTGCGTTGGCACTGTTGTTTTCAGAGCTTGAATTAGCTCAATGGCAAAGCCAGGGCTTCTGGTACATTATTTTGCTGATGGCCTCGCTCTGGTTCCTGAGGCTCTACCTGCATTACCTTGGCCAGTGGCTTTTCCTCCAGGCCATTTCAACTCCAGTTACAAAGTGAGTGCTTTCCCCTGAAAGTAAAAGGAATGTATTTTCATCTTGATAGGACAAATGAAAGTACAAAATACCTCTCCTGTCCACTTACCAGAAGACCTAAAATGCAGGTATTATTTGAAAAGACAAAAACGTCTTTATCTGAGAGCAAGAACTTCTATTACAGTTATGAGCTCATCTTATGGTTGATTCTGTATATACAAATACATAACTGATACATCAATATTTATTTAAAATTTATCAAATCCAAATATGTTCTAATATCTAAGCAGGATCCAAAGAGGAATTTAGCAACAATGTTTTATCCTATTTTGAATTTATCAGAGTGACTTAGGCTGGAGGTATTTTAGAAGTAATGTAAGTCTGATTTATTACTTATACTTAGAGAAACAAAGATTGCTCCCTCTACAGAATGATTGAATTCAAACAATTACCAAACTCAAACCCGGGCAGCTTTCTGGGCCATTATCCTGTAGAAAAGATGACACTTTAAAGGTTATCTCTCCATAAACATGATTCTGTAGACAGTATAGATAGACAGATAGATAACAGTACAAGTAAAATTCATTTTCTCAAATGTAGATGGTACCGATAAAAATAGAAATGTGTTTATATTTTCAATTAAGATTACAAAGAACATGAGAGTGTGTGAAAAGTGTTATATATGTAGATATGTATATACACATAGAATTTTTGATATTCTTATGAAATTCAATCACAAACATCTGAATATGTCATAAAATAGGAATTTATATACCAATGTCTGCATTTTTAAGGAGGAATTTTTGCATGGCTATCTCTCCCCTTCTTCCTTCCTTTCTTTCTGTGCTTTTCTTTTTTTCTTAAGATTTCCAAAGCAAAAAGACAAATGTTGCATGCTTTAATAAAAGAGTGAACTCTTTTATTCTTCAATGAAATGTGTTAATTTTACTTAGGTGCTAATTAAATGAGACTGCCAAAAGTATCTTGACAGCCAACTTTAGCCAATTTCTTAAGTAACAGAGGACTTAAGATATCACAAGATATTTTTCTGGCAATTGTCTTGGTCTATAGGCTTGAATCATGCAATAATTTCATGCCACATCTTAACTGGGTTCTGTAGCAATAACACCAACAATGAGCATTTATTTTGCTCTCAGTCTGTGTCAGATACTGAACTAAGAAATGTATATACATTATTTTATTAGATATTTAAAACAATGTAAGGAAAAACATAAAACTTCCTGTAAAGGAATGGATAAAATTAAGAACTCTTTAGTAGAGCACTGATAAGTAGGATATACAAAAACAGGATTAACATGAAATAGCTTTAATAGGCTGGAATTTAGGGGGAGAAAACTCAGAGTGAATTGAAGTCTCATTTGCACAGAAATATGGTGCCAACATTCAGTCAAGGCTGCTTGAGTTACTGGGCTTAGAATGGATTTAACCATGAGAGCCCTTAGTATGAAATTTTGGTTGTTAGTAGTGGTGGTGTTATTGCTGCTGTAATTAGGCATCCAGGCAGAGAAAACATATATAAAATTAATCAGCTGCACAAAAATTCTGAAGAATTACTATTTTCTCATTTCTATTAGACAATGGGTCAGTAAAAAAATCACTAGCACAGTTTGCATTTAAAATTTCCTACTGATAAATCCTGTGAACTGGAGGGAAGTTCTTGATCTATGGTCTGCTATGCTCAGTGGCTCAAACTGACACACTTTCTATGCTAAAGTAATTTCTGTGTTCTTTTACAAGAGCAATGAAGGGGATAGAATGTGCCTTTTCATTGGTGGTACTAAAGGGTTTGGAAAGAATGACAACTTCTAGCAATTTTGGTATACTATTAAATATCAGATTTTCTATACTTTTAATGAAGAGAGCAGAACACAGAGTTCTTTAAATTGTTTTTCATTCTTGCCATTTCATTTAATTCTTGCTTTTATATCTGCAGTTGCTTTGTTTGTTTTCCTACAGATTCCATTTTTTACCCCACACAGTTGAGCTTTGCTACCCAACTTCTTCACTTCACATCAGAGAAGAGCTGGCTGTGGTTGTGTTGGGGCCTCTAATGCTGAACACAATCACATTTCTTTTGGTTCTGATCAGATGGGGCTGTCAGCTACTGTTTTCCTCCTGCCCAGATGCCTTGTCAAAGTTAATCATTTCTTTGGGACTATGGGCAGTTCCAGATCCACTGGCAGTGCTTTTGGTGGATATGTTCCTGGGGGTAAGTCAAATAAAATAATCAGGATGTGAATCCCTGACATAGAACTTGGCTTTAGAGCATGACTCAGTTGACATGGGATGTTTCAATAATGATGAACATTCGTATTCTTCTTAAATTGAAATTAAGTTTTTCCTCATTTAAAAAATCACGGACATCTCATAAAATCAATTTAAGTGTAATTGTAACTATCTTAAATAAATACTTTCAAAATAAATAGGAAATCATATAGGAGACCAAATCCAAAGTAGCTGTCATACTTTCAAAATAATTATAAAAGAATTTTATTTAATAAAAACTTTGGTAGTTTTTATTAAATAATTATTTAATTATAGTATTAAAAACATTTTAATACTAAATATTTTCATAGGCAAACTGTTCTGTGATTCCTTTAATTAGTTAGGTTATTCACCTGTTTTATGACATATAGTTTTCTGTAGTAAGTATTTTCAAGAAGAATAAGAGGTTTTAAACATTTCTAAGTGATAATTTAAGAAAAACTCACCCCTTTGCATTTATTTTGACTTTTTTGATGATTATGAAATAACAAACATAAGGCGTTTTTACCTTAGAGTTTTAGGATTTCGTGACTACCAATATACTAAAGTACATGATAATGTATAAATAGTGAAATAATGATTCTAAGATTGGAAAACTTCTGTGTGTTTTTAAGCATCTTCACATTATATTCATAGTTGATTCAATAAGACTGCAAGTCAGTGGGCTAAGAGTTTGCCTCACTTTACAAGTAGGAGGAACCAGTCATAGAGAACTCCATTTCTTGCCCAGGGCCATATAGGCAGCTCACATTGCAACTAGGTCTGGGCCAGAATCTCGAATTCTTTTTTAAAAAATTTATTAGTATATATTTGTTGTACAGGGGGGATTCATTGTCACAATCAGACTCTTGAATGCTAAGGTGAGGGTTTCTTCCATTCTGTCAAAATCTCTCCTTCAAATTTTGAGTCAATACATTGCCTTGTACAATGTAGTAAACACGATCCATGATGATAATTATTCAGTTACATCAAAATACTTAATTTATTAATGAATTTTGGAGTTATAATTTGATGCAAAATTGGTATGTTTATAAGTGAGAATTTATTGCCATATCCAAATTTCCATTTGCTTCGTGAATTTTCAAGGCCTGAAATTTTCTGGTGATGGAATATGCGATTCTCAAACTTGATTCTGCAACAGAGTCTATTGCAGGTTTGGTGAAACAAAAAATTCTGGGTCCTATCCCAGAGTTTCTCTTTTGGTAGGTCTGGAATTTGGTCCAAGTTTGCATTTCTAACAAGTTCCCAGATGATGATGTTGTTGGTCTGGGGACCACAATTTGAGAACCACTGACATCATAGCTGCATAAAAAAGCTTTGGTGAGCAGACTGGAATCTGAATTAAGAAATGCCAACATACTTTGGAAGATACAGTCTCAGCATCAACAAGGTGCAATGGAGCATCTTTTATTCCCCTGTCTATTAACCATGACCCCATCCTGCAATTCACCAACTTTTATCTAAGTTTCATTTGTGTTGCTCCAAAGTTTTATGTTAGATTATCAAAACAAAATTGAAGATATTGGCAAAAAATGGACTAATTTAAGCCAAAACATACTGTAACTTGCAGTCAACAAATTTGTAAGCAATTTTAACATGCTAAAAGAAGGGAAATCCAAATTTTAACTAAATTTTTGTACTATAGACCTGGTCATAAAATATAGCCCCAACCAAGGGAACAGATGGATACTATAAATTAATAAATATGATCAAATATTTATTTTAAAATTATCTTAAATTATGCAATGATATTCTATATGCCAGATGTTTCACAATTGATAAGTATATGTGTTTAGTCTGTACTCACTGTGCCAAGAAGATCACAGACATGAGGTATTTTGATGGACTCTACTCACTAATAATTTCTGAAATTGATTCTACTGTCAAGAATATGCTTTAGAACTAAAGACCAGAGCACTGCCCACTGCATTTCTTGGGGATGTTGTATAGCTTGGGGGCTGTGGTGGGTGACCCAGCTCATCAGAAACTGCTTCCAGTTTATTATCTTTCTCAGGCACTTCTACAGAAGTGCCCAAATTTTGGAGTGCTTGTGGGACCTGTGGAGATCATATTAAAATGCCAATTTTGATTCTGCAAGAAGGGCCTGAGGGTCTGCATTCTTCATAGTTCCTAGATTATTCCAAGCATGCTGGTTTGTTGTACCACATCATGGGTAGCACGGTGCTAGTTACTTTACCAAGATGGCCTTGGCTATTCCTTTGCTGTTTGCTGAGCTGAGCTTTTACTCACATGGATTCTGGGTCTGTCCTCAAGCCAATGGGGGTCCTTGAAGTTATAGTGAGTCCACTAATATTTGTTTAGGCTTCATATGAGAATTTGGACTGCTTATTTTGGAGGGAACATGGCTTCTGCTAAAAATGCTTAGAATTTACCCACAAGTGAAATTATTGACTCTCACAGTGTAGATCATTCAACATTATTAAAATGAACTCATAACAGTGCACATGAGCCCACCAGTGAGTCCAATTTCTGGTCTGCTGCTAGGGATGGGAAGTCGAATCATGTGCCATGGAAAGCTCACTGGTACTTAACAGGCAGACTTGTTTCCATGTGCCACCATGGGACCACTCCAAAACCTCAGTATCACCAAATACCTTGATGACATTGTGGAAGCGGGAGTCTTTTGAGTCAGAAGTGTTTGTGTTTTCTTCTCTGACTTTGTTGCTTTTAGTCTTCTGATTAGCCTCTTCTGCTTCTGAATGGATTTAGTTGTAGCCAACTGTCTTGGGTCCCCAGTCTCCAGGCTAGCAAGGAGACTGTGCTGTCAAGATTTGTCGAACAGATGAAAAAAAAAAAAAAAGATTTGTCAAACAGGAGATATATGGAGATCCCACCTGCATTCTTGGAGAACTGTATCCCAAGGCATCTCACAGTTCCTCCCAGAGATCTGATCTGTATATGGAGCAAGTGTGGTCCTGGGACTGAGCTGACTGCAACACCACATGGGAAGCCACTTGAGAGGATGAGCTGTCCCTTATGATCTTCTGAGGTCTGCTGAGAAGGAGCATCTGCAGCCCTCATGGAATGACTTTCCTTACTCCATTCCGGTCCTTAGGCAGATTAATAACCAACCAGGTCACTGTTTCCAAGCCAGCTGATAAAAGGAGCAGACAAGCTACTCTGGGGTCTCTGATGTAATCTACAAGACAGTAGCCTCCAGTGTGGCCATGTCAAAACCTGTTCCAAGGTCTGTAAGCTGATGAAATTGACTTGGATTCTAATAGATGAATCCATGACCCATGTTTCTTTCCAGTTGGAAAGAACAGCTAATGTTTTTTTCCCAATCTCTACAAATTATCAACTCTCCAGTTAGAATCCATCACCTTTCATTACACACAACATCTACTTTACCTATCTTAAAAATCTCTAAAACTATATAATGCACAGGTGGGTAGCAGTGGGACCCCATGGGAAGATGTCGAAATACATTTATACATGTCCAATGATGGCATTAAAGTATGCATTCTGCATATTTTCCAGGTGACTTGTCAACACCTTAACGACTGAGATCTCCTGACCTAAGGCAGTGGTTCTCAAAGTATGGGCCCTGAACTGACAACAGTAATATCACCTGGGAACTTAGAAATATAAAATCATAGGCCCTGCACCAAATTTACTGAGTCAGAAACTCTGGGACAGGGCTGAACAAGATGTGCTTAAACAGGGGATGCTAACACTCATGATATATTGAGAACTACTGCTACACACGGGATCACAGTCATCATAGATGCTACATCACCCAGGAGATTCAGGTTGCCTGAGTTATACCTCCAAGTCCTTTAGTGTTACCTCTTAGCAGTGAAGCTGAAGATCAGCTGTGATTGAATCAAGCGAGTCAGTCAAAAAGACACTACTGAATTTTACTAACTTTTCTGCTCTGAATTGATTTTGCACCTGGCAATCTGAAAAGAGACATGGCAGGTGGAATGATGTGAGGCTGAATCAGTGACTGCTGTATTGTTAATGATGCTTTTCCAGTCTCTCAGTTTGCTGGCTCAGAGGTTGGCAATGCATTCCCCAAGGTGCTATGGGAACAATTCCAGTGAGTACAAAAATTCTTCTTTTGGAGCTGAGCACAGTAGTACACAGCTGTAGTCCCAACTACTCAGGAAGCTGAGCCCAGGAGTTCAAAACCAGTCTGGGTAAAACCATGAAACCCAATCTCAAAAAATTTTTTTTCCTCTGCCCAATCCTTAATCTTGATTTAAAAAGTAAAATAAAGATTTGCTATTGGATCTTTTCATTAATCATTTTGTAGTCTTCATTGACTATATCCTTTCTGCACAGGATTTTAAAAGATGCCAAATAAATATGGTATTTTTCTTTCTCTCAATACAGATACTGAGGTAAAAGTAATACACAAGAATGAAGCTTAAACAAAAGTAGAATGAAAACATTGTCATTCAGCAAATAGTTATTGAGACTCCATGTCTTAGCCCATTTTGTGCTGTTGAAACAGAGTACCTGGGACTCCAGGTAATTTATGATAAAAGTTTATTGTCTCATGGCTCTGGGAAGTCTAAGTTTGAGGGCCCAGAGGGTGAAAGAGATTAAACTCTTTCAAACTCACAGCCTTTGCATAATTGCTATTAATCCATTCTTCAAAAAGTCCCAGTAGGTCTCACCTCCCAACCCTATTGGGACTTATGTTTCCAACATATACTTTTTGGAGATACATCGCAGTCATAGCACTTCATTGGAAATGACTAAGGACTAGAAGAAAGACCATGTGTCCAGGGGACTATGTTTTGATCCCAGCTCTGTCATTTGTGAGCTCTATATCAGATAAGTCAGTTAACCTCTGGAGCTTTCAATGTAAGTATCATGAAAAGCTGTAATGTCTATAAATAGTGATACTTACCTTGTTCATTTCACAGCATTACCTGGAGAATCAGATGAAAGAGTAACTGGGAATAAACTTTGAAAATGCTACATGTAACATAAAAAGAAAAAAGATAAGATCATAATGAGGTGATGACCCTACACTCTGTGGATGACACAAGACACAAAGACTATTACCCTCAGGGTTCAGGCAAGAACTTAAAGTGGAATGAAAGAATCAAAACATACACACATACATACACACACACACAGCACAGGCAGTGTATGAAGAGTGCCATTCGCAGGTACCTTTACATCCTTCAGGTGTTTGCTCAGATGCCACTTCTTTAGTGACACATTTTTGTTTTCTTGATGGTACTAGGGTTTGAAATTAGTGCTTTCTGCTTGCTTGACAGGCATTTTACATTTTGAACCATACCTCCAAGACCTGTTTGCTCTGGTTATTTTGGAGATAGGGACTTGCTTTTTTTTCCCAGGCTGGTCACTGCCTTGGTTCTCCTATTTACATTTCTTGCCACAGCTGGGATGACAGATGAGCTCACCACACAGCTTTTTCTGTTGAGATTGACTCTTGTGAACTTTTTACCCAGGCTGTCTTAGAACTGTGATGCTTTTAATCTCAGCCTCCCATGTAAGTGGGATGACAGGTACATGCCACAGCACACAGCTAGTAGTTGAGATGGGAGTCTTAGGAACTTTTTGCCTGGGCTGGCCTTGAACTGCAGTCCCCCTGATTTCTGCCTTCCAAGTAGCTAGGATTATAAGTATAAGCCACTTGCACTTAGTTAATGACACATTTTCTGACAACAATATTTAATAACACACCCATTCCTCCTGCTACAGTTTGTGTCCCAAAGGTCCGTGTGTTAAAGGTTTGGTTGCCAGCTTGTGGTATATTGGGAGGAAGTTAGGCCAATTGGGCTGTGTTCTTGAAAGCTATTGCAACCCCATCTCCCTCCTCTTGCTACCCAGTTGCCATGAGGTGAGAAGCTTTGCTCCATCACATACTCCCTGTCTTGATCTGCTGCCTCATTATAGGCCCAAGAGCAGCAGAACCAACTGACTTGGGACTGAAACTTCTGAAATCAGGAGACTAATTAAACCTGCTCTTTATAAATTGTTTATTTTAGGTATTCTGTCACAGTGACAACTAACATAACTCCTGTACTATACCTTTTTCTGCTTTATATTATGTTCTTACCATCGTCATTGATTATACCGTATATACTATTTACTCTTAATCTTACATACATGCTTTACTATCATTCTAACCACCCAACTGAAAATTAAGTTCCGAAAGGGTAGCACCTTGTCTAACTTATTTACCTTTATCTTCTGAGCTGTGGTGTGGACCAAATCAGTGATTAGCATCTATTGATTGGCTCGTGCTACTGGCATCAAACGTGTATCACTTTTTTGTTGCTGTTTTACCAATGTATCCTATGTCTACTTCTTTATCTTTAAGAAACAGCAGAGGAGAAAGACCTGGAAAAGGAGAAATGTAGGACAATCCTCACCAGGCTGCTGCTCAGTCACAGCAGCGGGTCCACACTTTGCGGGTAGACTGATTAACAAATACACAGCATAAAAATAAAGGTTTTAGGGTGGTAGTCAGAGAAGCAGTAGTTGAGAGTTGGAACATCTGAATTCTAGTCATTGCCCAATTACTAAAGTGTATTTTTGTGTAGGCAAAATACAAATTAACCTGTCTAGGCTTCTGTTTTTTTCTACACCTATGTGATTTGGACTAGCTACTTTTAAAAGTGCCCTTTTAAGCTATATTTATGTAATTGCCAGTTTTAAAACTAAAGAAATTCTTCCCCTTTTCTTGTGCTGGAGAAAAACTACCTTACTTGATACCTTACTTTATGGATATACCACACAGTACTTGCTCTTGATATCATGAGAATCATAAGTAACGTACATACGAGAACTCCCTCATGTGGACATTAGATCAAGGGCAAACACAACAAGGAGACTGGACCTTGATCACATGATAAAGCGAGAGCACACAAGGGAGGTATGGGGATAGGTAAGAAACCCAAAAAACTAGATAACATTTGTTGCCTTCAACGCAGAGAAACTAAAGCAGATACTTTAAAGCGTCAGAGGCCAATAGGAGAAGGGGACCAGGAACTAGAGAAAAGGTTAGTTCGAGAAGAATTAATTTAGAATGTAACACATATGTACAGGAAAGCAATGTGAGTCAACTCCCTGTATAGCTATCCTTATCTCAACCAGCAAAAACGCTTGGTCCTTCCTATTATTGCTTATATTCTCTCTTCAACAAAATTAGAGATAAGGGCAAAAGAGTTTCTGCCTGGTAGAGAGGGGGTGGGAGGAGGGGGCGGAGGGAATGGGAGAGGGCAGGGGGAAGGGGGGAAAAGGACCCAAACACTGTATGTACATATGAATAAAAGAAATCAAAAAAATAAGTAACATACATTTGTGTTCTATAAAGCTCAAAGACCAAAGATGTCATATGATAACACGCTGTGTCCTTAGCAATTTATATTTGCCATTCGAGATCTCATTGCCTGGCATTTATTTATAACCCAACCTGCAATATGTTTTTCTTCATCTCAAATAAGGGCTCAATTTTAAATTAACCTAATGTAAACTTTGGCTCTCAAGCTCACATTAAATAGCCTGATAACTTTTTTATAAGTTTCTAAAATAAGCCATTTCTTTTATGCATAGCACAAATTAAATTCCTATCAAAGCTGCTTCAGAAATAAAGGAATCTTTCCACCATCATATTTAATTTCTTCATATCTTGTGCTCATTAAATTCAGAAGTTAATAGCACATAAATAAAACATGGCTTTTAATTCATGAATTGCATGTTGAGTGCATGTATTTAAAGGCAGAGATGAAAAAATTGAGAAAAACCTGGTAAACCAAGAATGTAAATCCAGTCTTGTGCAGCTGAATAACTGGCAATTTCGGTGCTTTTATTTTAAAACAAATTATAATATCATACAGTCTTTGTGTTATGAAATTATTTTAACGTGATGGCCAGTGTTTCCTTCCTTTTTTGTCTTAAAGTATGTTAAGAAATATGTTTCCTTTCATCAGCGGCTTATGCATAGTGATGAGACACCTCGCGCAGATGCTGCGAAACTCTATCGGATGTTTGTGAGAACCAAGCAACCAGGAGTTGTTGGTGTGGCCCTCACAGTTTTACTCTACATCCTGCTGTTTATCTTGTCTTCTTCGATTTTATATTTGTACTGTCTCAGGTAAGGTGTTTGCATTATTTTGTGCTTCAGAATGTTCAGCCCACCAGGCTTCTTGTTATTCATTTCAGTTATAATGTGACTAAAGAAGGACCAACTGTATGTTACTGAAATCAAATTTTCCATGGTTATATGAAACACTTGTCATGAAAACCAGTCAAATAATATTTTTCTTTTGGAGAAGTGTTTTCTCCATAGTTGAGTGTGCTAATTTTACTATGAATCATCAAATTTGTTTTTCAAAAAAAGGGACCAACAAGAATCAAAGAGTAATCCGTTAATATCCAAGAATATTCTGAGAAATTTCTTGGGAAGCTTGTCTGCAATTCTTTTGGGCTCCTTCTTCCAATTTGGTTTCTCTCCACTTCCCATGCACTGCCAAAATCACCAGCGTCCTTCAGGTGGGATCCTGAATATCGTAAAGTTTATTTTGTCAGGTCACCAATTAGCAAGAAGAGTGTGTGTGAAAAAAAAGGTAAGAATAGCAATAAGCACAAGGCATGAAAAGGGCTAGGAAGATGTTTCACGTGCTGAGTATTCGTTTTGCTGTGTCGTAGTTTTCAGTTTGATGCCTACCTCCAAAATCCAAGGTTTTCTGTCTTGGCCTTTGTTGCCTGCACTTTTGGTATCATATCCATGAGCTTACTGACAAGACTGATGTCATGAAGATTTCCCTCATCTTTTCTTCTAGTCTCATATTTTCAGTCCTTATGCATCAATCTACAATCCATTTTGAGTTGATTTTTGTGTATGATGTAAAATAGGGTTCAATTTAATTATTTTGCATGTGACTACCCAATTTTCCCAACATTACTTGCTAAACCGTTTCGCTGTTATGTAGTCTTACCACCCATGTTGAAGATAAACTGAATGCATAGATATGGATTCATTTCTGGGCCTTCTCTTTTATTCCATTGGGCTATGCTTGTCTTTATGCTTATACTACAGTGTTTTAGATACTGCAGTTTCGTCATATAATCCATCAATTCTACTTCTGGGTATTTACCCAAAAGAACAGAAATCAGAATTTCAAGGAGATGCTAACCTTGCCATGTTCCATTGCAGTACTCCTCACAATAGTCAAGAAGTGGAAACAACAAAAATATCCATTAACAAGTGACTGAATAATGAAGTCATACAAACATTGGAATATTTCAGCCATAAAAAAGAAAAGAACATCCTTTGCCAATATATTCAACAATGTGACGTGAACCATCTCGATAGGTCCCATTATTGCTAAGGAAATCAGTCAGAATCATGTAAACCTCTTGTCTGCGCTTCAGGCTGAGATTCTTTTAAAAATAGTCCACATCATAGCAACAGTGAGAATAGAATGGTCGCGGTTTCCAGGACCTGAGAAGGGCTACAATCAGGAAACTGCCATTTCGCACCGTACATGAAATTTCAGATGATTAAGTTGTAGAGATTTATTATATAAAATTGTGCCATACAGGTTACAGTATTGTACTGTGCACTTAAAAACTAAGACAGTAGATCTCATGTTAAATGTTCTCATGATTTTAAACAAGTACTAGGAAAAGGGTAGCATAGAGACCTTAGGAAGCATAGAGAACAGGAACTAACCTTAGTACTGCAGGAATTGAGGAAGCAACAATGACTTCAGGGTAAATATAATGCTTGAGAAATCTTTGAAAGTTTAATGTAATTTAGCCAGAAGAAAAATAGAGATAAGCGTATTTCCAGGTAATATGTATAAAACCATATAGTCTTGAGAAACTATCATATACAACATTTGACAAATTAAAAGTATTCTGATGTTGGTTGGAGTTTAGCATATGGAGAGATGGCAGTTGGCTGAGATGAGGTTAGAAATGTGGTCCAAAGAACTCTGATTCATCATCCGTTTTAATGAAGCCCTTGGCACAGCCTTGGGCATCCTTTCTATTAAAGGTAAAATAGACATTGAAAGATCTTAATGATTTTACTTTTGGGAAGCTCACTCACCTAGTAGAAATGAAGGTAGATTTAATAGGGTCTGGGCTGGAAGCAGGAAAATCTAGTTAGAAAGCCACTTTGGTGGTCTAGGCAAGAACTGTCACAAACCTTAACTAGAGAATGACACTGGAAGTGGAAAATTGAAGTATATTTAAGAAAGAGTGAAGGGAAAGAACAGAACCTGTGACCTGCTTGGAAATTGAAGGTGAAGGAAAAGATGCCATTTAATACAAAACAACAGGTTTAGACGCTGGCAGCTATCTGCGGGACCACGGCTGTAGACTGCGCTCAAGACAGGACGCTTCCAACAAAAAAAGTAAATATTTATACAAGATAGAGGATGAGTTAAACTTCCATTCAGATCAACTTTGAGATATCTTTGATAGTTCTAGGGGATAATATGTCAGAAGAAGTTGGATAGAGAAAGGTATATTTCAGGGAAATTAACTCAAACACTTGGACATCTCATGGAGTGAAAGACTTGCAGTTTTGACGTTGCTTGTAGATAAGCTAAACTGCAGACGCGGTTAACCTGAGCACAGCGCTGCACGAACAAAAGGGTCCGAGTACCCTCTACTCCTTTCTCCTCTTTTCTCACAGAACTACTGACATAACACGGAAAGCGGCTCTACGAAAAAGATATCTTAAACAGAGTGGTTTTTAAAAATATGGGTGTGGTTCAAATCTATTTCTATGCAGAGATGGAAATTCTATAGAAAAGAGAACTATTGAAAATGCCTAATGTACAGTGGATAATTGAGTGACTGAGGTCTCTGAAGACACAAGGTAGAACATGAACAGAGATAATCTTGCATTTTGGAGAAAAACTGTGTCTCTTGATGTGACAGGGAAAGAGGCTGGGGCAAATGCAAATACTTGGAGGTTTGTGTTGGAGTATGGAGGGAGTTCACATATGATAGTCATTATTTGAGGAGGTGAGCTCATTCCTCAGGTCTCCCTTCAGTAGACTGATCATTCTCTGATATAGCCCTTGAATCACTAACACAGCTATAATGAAAGTGCCCAATTCTCCAGAGGGATGTGTACTGTTCAGGGCCAGGCTTGGTTTATATTTTGTCGTGTCGTAAGTACTCTATGTCATCTTTCCAGGGCACTTACTTCCCTGGGGAAAGGAAGTCTTCCCTGATCATTCAGTTTACATTTGGCTACTCTCTTGTACTATAGCCCTAGGCAAAGTTGTTCATTTGCTAGATTCTACATATTTTCTTATATGACATGGTAAAAATAACACATATGTATAGATTTATAAGCAGGTCCACATGAATAACCACTGTATTATTTTAAATGACTAGATTTTCCCAGAAAAATTAACAAAATAAAATCATAGGTCACATAGTTTAGACATTTGCAAGCAAAAATTATCAGATAATATTGTATATAATTTATTCTCACATTAATGCATCTTTTCTTATTTAAAATAAAATGAATGTTTATAGTCAGATGATTCATTGTGTGAAAGCTTCATTTTAATTATCCAGATTACTTAATAAAGTACGAAAAAGAAAGCACAGAATTTATGCTACCAAATTATTACCTTTTGCCACCTAAATGAAATAAGTGTTTGCTGTAAGATAGAACAGAAAGACTGCCCCATGGGGAGTGTAGATAGGAGTCGGATGCTCAATACTGGATGGAGAATGATTGAGGTAAAAGCCATGATGGATGGAGTATCTGGACATCATAGAGATTAACCTGGACAAACTCAGCTTAACCACATTTATACACTTACTCCTTATTGTCCTCCACGCTTAACCTGGCCTAACAGAACTGGACACAGTCAGTCATCCTAAGCAGAGTTTTGCTTGTATTTTAGAGGTAGGTGCTCTTAAGATAGTTTTTTTCTTGATAGTAACAGAGTTATAGTCATCTCCCACAGAGAAATACCTGTATATTCCATATGAATAAATAAGTCACTGCAATGCACCTGCTGAAAAATCTTGCCTTACCACTTGGCAAAGTATTTTCCCTGCAAAGGCATAATGCCGAGTAGACCAGCTCTGTGAAGAAGGCACTGTCGAGAACAGATGTCTGTGCAGGGTCTTGCTCTGGTTCAACAACAGTAAAGAGAGAAATCAGAAGACATTTTCCTGGTGAAAAGTGCCAATGGAGATTCATGCATATTGACCCACCTTAGTCAAAATGTTAAGGGATGATTCTAAGTCTTTCCGGGCCTTTGGGTGAGTGCTGTCAGCACCGTGGCAACACCGTAGCTGGGATTACGGGAACACAAGGAGATTTAAGTGTGCTGTGCTGGCTGTGCATAGGGAGTTCTGTTTAGCTGTCGGTGTTGTAAGTTCGACATTATAGGGACTGGTTGTGCAATCCCAAGGCTGGACCCTGTTGAGGTTGGCTGTTTTCTTCCAAGAACCTGAGTGATGCCTTACTGAAGGAATTCTACCACAAAAGCTCCCACTCCTTGTACTTCTGATAGTCAAATTGACTAGAACACCAGTTCCTTGCCTCTTTGCAAGGCTTTTAGAATTGGCATAATTATTTGGACTTGATTATATAGTTTTTGAAAAAGCATTAATATTTTAAAAGATTTTTTCCTTATTCTAGAAAGAATGCATGTTATTTAGGAAAAATTGAAGCTGTAGAAAAGAATAAAAAATAAATTTAAAAAATTGGTAATCTCACCATCTACACAAAACATTGTTAACCTTTTGGTAAATTTATTTCAGTCTTTCTCCCATGTGTCTTTAGCTTTATAAAGTGTTGATTTTCAGCTTAATGTAATATGATAAATATTTTTCTATTCTTTACTAACTTCATGAACATTTAATACCTATACAATATTTTATGCTGTATAAACAGTGTGTACTAATATAAACATTTTCTTACTGCTAGACAATAGATTGTTTCACATTTTTGTGCTTCTTATGAATAATTCTGTTGAATATCTTAAGGCACAAGGTCTAATTCACATTTAAAATTACTCTTTTAATATGATCCTAGAGATACACACATATTGTTCAGAAAGCAGAATATTTCTAACACTTGAGAACTGTTCTAAAATTATTTTCTGT